GATGAGACCTCACAACTCAATTAAGTCATTTAAGTGGAACGAAGAGTGTTGCAGACCCAGCGAATCTGCCTGATTCGCTGGAGCAAAAAATCCCAGAAACATGGTCCCCACCCCGAAAACATATACCCCCAGAGATGTAACATAAAAGTAGGATTTTCTTCATCTGCATCTCAACAGGTACCTATTTGTTAAGTTTCAATCTTGTATGTCTCCCTCATTTGCTGGAGCGAAATAATTTCTTGGAAGAGGTCCACCCCAAAAATATCTTCCCAGGGAATAAACCCTAAAAGTAGGCTTTTTTTTAAATCTGCATTTCAATCGGTGCACATTTACTAAGTTTCAGTTTTCTATGTCTCCGTTTATTTGGAATGAAAATTTATCTGGAAATACATATATCCCCAAATAATGTGCCCCCAAGGATGTACCTGCAAAGTCCTTTTCTTTCTGAAGGCAACACTGTAACAGCTCCTTTGTACCAAGTTTCATCTATGTTCTATTTCAGCATGGTGAGAATTATCGCCTGTCAAGCAATAACAATCGTCTATATATATTAGATATCAGCACAACTCTTATTAGGTTTGTGGCTCTCTCCGTCGACCTTAACGCATTTTCTGACTAATATGAACCGTTCTTTCAGCTGTTCGTCGTTTTTTTCTGTTGTTGCATTACAGTTGATTGTACTTTCTCTGTAGGCTTCAATCCATTGGTAGAACTAATTCCTTCCTATCTTGGTTCTCCTACCCACGCAAATTGTATAGCTAAATAGCATTTATACAATTTAAATATGATTTACCTGGTAGGTTGGTACGGTGCTTCAGCCCTTTCCGCTAGAGAGCAAATCGGACAATGTAGGAAGTCGATCCGAATTTATGGCACGAAAGAGTTTTGCTCACCGTCCATTGTAGTTTGTAGAATTCTAAACGAGTAGGAGGGACTGGGCATGTAACGACTGTGTATGTGTGCAGTTGTTCCATGAGTTGACGTGCATGAACGTGCTGGAAGTGACGTTGTACGAGGAGGAAGCAGTGTTGAGCCTTGTCGAGGGAGAGGGGGACGAGAACCTCTCCGCCTACTGCGTCCGATCTCTCTTCCATATCCTTTCCCCCTCCCATGAGTAATATTTTCATCGAATCATTCCCTTCACTCGTCAAATTCCACGACCGCTGACTTCTTCTAACAGGGATCAGGGAGGGTTGAAAGGGGAATGGGAAGAATTGGTGGAAGGAGAAAAGAAAATTCGACACGGATGTGCCATAGCCTCCATCTCCATTCTCCGCTACCTCACCGCCCATCTCAATCGGTCATCTACTTTCCTTTTGTCATCCACGAGTCCAGCTCAGGCCTCTCATGAAAGAATCAAAATTCTACATTATATCTACATCTTCATATAGGTTAGGGGTGGGGGTAAGTGGATGTTTGCTTAGAAACCATGACCTCCCCTTGCTCCTCCTTCAACTCCTAGACAAGAAACCCTGGATCCGATCACGAGGACAGAGAAGTCAATACTACCAAGGTGTTTCACCTTAGATGACTCGAGTTTCAAGAAACTACCCACCTCCTCCTCCCCCGAAGACCGTTTAGCATATTATGATTCCTCAATCATGTGCAGATGGACAATGGAGGGAGATGGAAGAAGGAGAGGACGTCATGATCAAGGCAGAGGTTGGAATCTGGATGATTCTAGTTCAAATCCTCCTTGGACCTGACGCTTCATCCCTATATCCCATCGATTCCTCTCGAAAGAACAGGCTTCTCAAGGTGACTTCCTGCAGCTCTTGTTCAGTTTATAAATGTCTAAATTCTCCGACCTATTAACGCACGGTTTGACCATCCAGCTGAGGAATCACCTGACCGAGCGGCTTTTGGATCGCCTTCCGTTCTTGAATCCCCTAAGACGATGGTTGATGGAGCTGAGTCTAGTGGATCCCCATGGATCTAGGGGAATTCCTAACATCCTTGTGTTTGGAGAGGCATCGTCCTTCGAGGGTTCCATAGACTGGGAGAAAGTGTGGGGGATCCACCGTGAGAGGATCTTTCGACCATCTCAGGATTCCATCCTCCACCTCGCTCGCCTGTAAGTATGAAAGGATTGAAGATCAAGGCTCGAATGCAAGTGATGGCAATTGTCATGCTGTTTCCATCAAGGATGACCTCGGTGTACACAAGAGAAGGACTGGAGGAACTGGTGGAAGGGATCTCAGCCCCAACGTGTGTGTGCGGAAAGCCAGCCACCAGTCGTTGCTCTCGGTGTCGCAATCGCTGGTACTGCTCTCGGTAAGTAATTTAACCTCCCTCCTATTCCTGGCATATGGGGACCAATGCACCACATCGTCCTCGTGTCTGTAGACCTTGTCAAGTTGAGGACTGGGGGAAACACAAGCCCATGTGTGATGCAGATTCTCAGCCTCTCTAACAGACAAGTGCAAGTAACATCATCCTCTGTCAATCTCCATCATCTCCCTAATTCTCATCTTCAGCTAAGCACAAGGACCACGAGCGCATCCATACGAGAGAGTGTCAGTGACTGACTGAGAGCGACCCTTCCCCTTTTTAGCAAATCAGTACACCACTGCATCTTTCAGAACGTTACATATCAGTTCACGCGAGATTCAGATCGTGCTCGGGATTTAATAATAAACGGTTTGTACGGTGTTTTGCATCTCCCTCCTTCACTACTAACTGAAGTTGCTCTGAACCTTGAAGATGTAAGGTTGTCGGACCGATTTCATGGACTTCTTGGGGATGCATTCCTCCATAAAGCCTTGCAATAACGTCTTGAACGACCCCCGTTGCTCCTCTACCGTCAGCCCAAGGAACCGCACCTCCCAGTCGATACCTAAAACGCATTCACGGAACCTCTCAAAATTGGCCTTCTTTTAGTTGTACGAAACCTTCGCCGGTTTGGCGTTACTCTTCGTCCGTTTGATATTCCACGTAATCGCGCAGTGGTCTGAATCTCCCAAGTTATCTTGTACCTTAACGTCTTGTGCTCAGGGCCAGATTAAGGTTATGAGGGGCCTAAGGCTGATGGGAGGGAAGGACCTAAGTAGAATTACATATTGCAAAAAAAAAAAAAAAAAAAAGGAAAGGAGGGGCTAAAGTAGGGGNAAAAAAAAAAAAAAAAAAAACAAAATAAAAAAAAAAAAAAAAAAAAAAGGAAAGGAGGGGCTAAAGTAGGGGTTAAGGTCTTATCAGCCAATGGGTTAATCCAGCCCTGCTTGTGCCAGATTCGTCGCGAAAACTAAATCCAATAAAGCTTCCTCACGTCACGAGTCGGTTCTTCTACGCGTTGAACGAGAAGAGCATCCTGAACCGCAGCGAGAAATTCCCTTTAACTTCCCCCTCCCGGCACCGACCGATCTATGCTAGGCATGTTAAAATCTCCGAAAAGCAACACCTGCTTCGAGACCTCGCTGATCCTACCCATCAGTGCAAAATAAGCTGTTTCGTCCTCTTGGGAAGAGTTTGGGGGCCTATAGCAAATTCCTGGCACAATCTTCCCAGTTGCCTCACCGATCTCGCACCATAAGTGTTCGATTGCGCCACAGTTAGCCGAGGTGAGATCTTCTCTGACGCGAACGCCCAGTTCAGTTCTAGCGTACAACTTGACACCTCCCCCTTTTCTACCAGGCCTATCCTTCGGATGTCGCACCCTTCGATCTCGAATTCCTTATCCGAAATGTGCGAACTACCCCAAGTCTGTTATTCCGATGACATCGAAACCGTCGCCCAGTGCCCTCCACCTGAGCTCATCCATTCTATATAGTAAGCTGCGTGCATTCGCGTAGAAACACATCTTTCTTCCCTGCCTTTCTTGCATGCCAATACGCAGTGGTCTGAAGCTGCTCGTAGTGGCTGTCCCTTGCTCGTGATCCCCTGCCCACCCCCCATCTACAACCCTAAAAAAGGCTCCATTTCCTTCGTGACAGCCAATCCAACTGCTCCAGCTCCCTCTTTTGAGAAATGTACTCCGTCCCTAGCCATCGGACTTTTACAATGCCTCAGAGCTTCCCTAATGTCCAGAAACACTGCCCCTCCGGGATACATAACTCCTTCAACCTGTCGTTAACCCCTTCTGACCTGGACCAAGTGATTCCTCGCTTGTATAGCCGACCTGCTTCAGCCTGCCCATGATGAGCTCAGAGCCAGACTTGGGAATATTGTTGGCCCCAATGTGAATGACCACCGACACTTCCTCGGAGCACACCACCCATCTTGACCAGTGCTCAAAAGCAACACCTACCAGCTCATGATTTCACTGAAATTCACCACTGATTGCATATTGTTCAATTTTTCAGCATTTCGAACAAGTAGGCAAATGTGCTGCTGAAGACTGAAACAAAGGTATGCCAGCTATGCTTCTCAAACCAGAATTTCCACATACATGTGTCATTAGTGATCCCTGTTACTTGAGCAAGTTGAATCATTGGACATGATAGATCCCAAGGTCATTCCAAAGGTATTGTGATCTGCTTCATTCCCTTGGAGGAAACCCAGCACAGACAAGACTATTAGCCATCCTACAATAATTAATCTTATTCAAGCTACTCTTTGAGTGCTGAGCAATTGACAACATCTGTTGTGAATGATAACATAATAGGTACCTGGACCTATAATAAAAGAACAACCACAGTTCGGTGTAGTTCTGAGTGCTAAGAGGTTGAGTTGAACCCATGGATCATTTATCGTTCTTTGTATGCTATTTCTTTCAACTCATAAGTAAAATTTATACTTGGAAGTATACTGTATGCAATCAGTTTCATGGGCATTCCTTAAGTGTGAGAAAAGACAACTGCATCATTGTTGTATACAATATGGGCCCAACACTAATTTCAACTCAATCCCCAACACCTACTGAAACCTTGCTTCCTCTTTGCAATTCCTCTTGGCTTGGGCAACTACCTACACTGCAGGCATCATAAAATAGCATTAGCTGTTCTATATCTTCCATACCTCTCTCATTCTCTTCAAATGATAATATATAATGAATTTCAACAGATTTTATGCAACAAGGAACTTTAATGCTCCAAATTTGACATAGATGGCTTCATGTAGAATAAAAAATAAAGAAAACAAAACAATATAGAGATAATCTGAATGAAGTGAAGATCAAGTTTCCATGCCTCTCTTCAGGGCTGTCCAGTACTCCATGGCACAGTAGTCACATTGTTGCATCAATAACAAAACCCACACACAATGGGATTGAATATGACATCTGGCAGGTCACCTGAGAGAAGAAACTTACTATCAATTGCCTGATTTGATAACTGGGTAAATTTTTTAAATAAGATGGGAAACCAAAATTTTGTTGAACAAAAGGTTCTCAATGCCATCAATAATAACTATAAGATAACTAAGAAACTGTTGCCTGGCAAGGACTATTGACAGAGACAAATACTGATTCTGAAACATAGATATTGAATTATCCTAAAATGAGTTTCAATGCATGGCTCAGAGAATTCTTCTGAAAAAAAAAAACAATCATCTCCATCTCCATCTCCAGAATGGGGTCACAGCTAAGCAGACCCAGAAGCATCCCATGTTCCAAATCCTGGGGAACAGTCTCAAGCTCAGTAGACAGAATGCTGAGGCCCTCATGACAAAGCTTTGGAATATTGTCCATTTACCTCATAAAAGGTCTACTTACTGGTCTTCTGCAAGTCATTTTTGATTGGGAGACTCTTTTTAGGAAACTCTAGGGGGATATGTGGCATGTCTAAACCAACATGCTTAAGATCTCAAGAACACAAGCTATCATTTTCATGACATGAAGACAATAGGCAAACTTTAATGTTTGTTACCTGCTTGGTTCACTTGCATCACCACCTGAAACACATGTTCAAGCCTAGTAATACCTTTCCACCTCCTTTCTTCATTGCATTTTATAATTACTGGATATTCATTATAGATGTGATGGATTACAAGACTTTTATTACTGGAATTACTCATTTCTAAAGATTGATTTAATCAAATACTGCATTACACTACATCCCATTACATCCAAGAAAGTTACCTCACCTTGAATCAATTTCAATCACCTTCTCATAAGTACAGTGGAACCTCGCTTAACGAGCATAATTTGTTCCCGAATCTTACTCATAATGCGAAACATTCGTTAAGCGAATCACTCTGTTTGACTATATATTCATATACAGTCAAATTCATATAAGTCAAAAGTTTTTTATTAATTATTTTTTTAAATTAATTTTTTTATTTACGGTCAAAATTCCATTTCACAAAAAATAAAAAATATCAGGTCACAACTATTCTTTTCTATCCAGCTTGCCGGAACTACAACCTTTTTGAACTAATGATGCCTCACTGAAGAGCCCTCTTCGAGAGCTATTAAGCGGTACCAAATAAAACAAGCTTTGTTCAATGGTAACTGCAAGAGCAGTCTCAAAAGATATGATCCTTATAATGATCATATGTCATGAAAGGGTCAAAGAATGGAGGCAATGACACAGTAAGGTGATAGATTGATGACATCACTAGTCACTACTGTTCTGTTACTAATACTTGCAGGAATGAACTTAACATGGCTCATTTAATTTCTTATGGTAATTTCAGAGACTGGTACAGGGCAACTTGCTAGCAATTGTTGTTTAAGAAACCAAATTTCCAAGCCTCTCTTCATAGTTCTGCTTGTAACTTCACAATTTAAAGTAGAAAAACTCAATTAGATCAATTTTGAGGTAAATCCTGGAGAAGCAATGGCAAATTTTATGCCATGAGAAGTACAGTAGCTTTACATAGATAAGCAAATAAGATGTACCCAGGCATAAATGTTGATAGTATGGTGCTGAAAGAGTTGAGATATTAGATCATGCATGAATTCCAGAAAACAGAATGTGAGCCTCTTCATGATTGCACCGATGGCAATTCAATTCATTCTCATAATTGAGGAAAAAATACAACTTTGAGTCTGGTACCATACCCAGAGGTGCTATAGGGTAACAGGTCAGAAAGCAAGGTGAAAGTTGCCAGAAAGTGGGAAGGAATGTATGTGGGCTCAGCAGAAACAGAATGAAAATAAGGAAGTGTGCACCAATGGATGACATACTTGATTGGTTGAGGCTAGGTCAAAGGGCTCAGAGACAGGGGACAGGATGTCTGAACACACATGATGAAAGGTCCCTCTTCTTTTGGCCTGAATGTAGATGGAATGATGTCATAGGACCCTGATGAGATGTCCTCCAGTTCCAGAACAACAAATCCTGACCTGCAACAAATCCTTGTGAATCAGCTGGCAGGCAAAATTGCATGTTAAGTGCCAAATCTCACGGTTTATGAAAGTACCGGTAAGGTCCAGAGGATTTCCGTGGGATGGGTGTGTTTTGAGCTTGAGGGTCATCAATGACTACAGGTAGCAAGTCAAAGCCAATGCTGTACTCTCGTGGACCTCGGAGTTCAATCAGCACTTGAGCTTTCTCTCGTCCTGGGTTAAGGGCGAGTCTAAAGCGTGGATTCTGTGAGTATGTCTCTCGGTTATTAGCACAGCCTCCAGCAGTTAGTCCTTTCCATTCTCCTGTTACCTGTAACCCATCATTCTCAATAATTAGTAGGTCTACTCAGAGTCTGAATCCAAAAGTAAGAAATTCCCTTTCATATCGGGGTGGAATGTGACATATGTGGTATTTCATGACTAGTAGCAAAACAAGGATTGTTGTAGAACCTGAAACAATTTATCCTCTTTAAGCAAGCAATTCCTCTACTTCACCAGAGGCAATTTTTTTTCTTCTTCAAATTCAACATTTCATTTTCTCAGAACAGCTCTATTGCACAGATAAAAATGCAGCAATATCTTGTCAATCCTAAGAAGAAAAATAAGAATCTATTAGTAGGATTGAAAAGAGTGAACAAAATGTCATCCAGTCTAAATCAGACTGGAGAAAATTTTGTGCAGGTTTTGATTGCAGTAGGATCATACTTTTTATCAACTCAGAGGGAATTAGAGCTTTAATGAATAATGGTGTGACAACTCCGGAGATTACAAGTGAACAACTCCCATTCAATATGAAACCATCTGCAATGGCCCATTTCATGATTCAAGGTTTGAGTAAGGGTATCAAGAGGTGTTCTGCCCATATTGTCAAGGTTAAGCATCTATAAAACAAAGGTATTTTTGCAAGAGCAAATCAATTTAGTACCTAGTTACTTGAAGCCACATTGCTCCTCCTTTTATATTTCTTTGTCCATGAAGATATGTGACTTCCTGAAGTTAACCCTGTAACTACCAGAACCTGGATGGACATACGAGGACCCATCAAAAAGTTCCAGGACTGGCCTTTGTTCATGAAAACTAGGTATACAAGTTAGGTTTTGGTATGCTTCCCTTCAAAATAGCTCCCAATACACTTCTCTCCATGTTTGCAAGAAGAATGGAACAGTGGCTGTAAGCCATATTTGGAAATCACCTTTAGTGCATTGGCTGAGAAGTGTATAGCAAGCTGAGGGAGCTATTTCGAAGGGGAGCACACTGAAACCTAACTTGTGTACCTAGTTTTTATGTATAAAAGCCAACCTATCACTACCAATGTCATCATGATTGTTTTCATCCTGTTCTGGAGAACAATGTGAACTAGTTGAGGTGAAGAGTCAGTACCTGTTTCTTGTAAGTGAAGGGATTCTTGATGCGCTGCATGGAGAAGGGGCATTTCGAATACACAGCCAAGGTGTAATGAATGGTATTCATCTTCTCATACTGAGATACAACCAGGGTGTACTTGTTGGTACCTGGTTCCAGGGCATGGATCTTGCACAGGTAATGTGGGCTATTGATCCTCACCCCATCCAAGTATGGAGGAGGGTCATCTAAATGCAGAATCAAGAACAGTTCATCTGTGGTTTTCTTGTTTGCTATTTTAAAAATAAATAATTGATTCTGAGAAGAACTGGAGTACTAGTTGAGTTATTCACTTACATGGATAGTAGACTTTCTTTCCCCCTGTTTTATAGACAAGAAGGCAGATGTACTCGCGGTTGTCTCGAAAATCTTGAATGTCAACTATGTGACGTGTGAGGAGGACCCAAACTTTCCCATCCTTTCCAGGTGGAACTGTGACTGTGAGTGAATACTGTGGGTTGTTGCTCACATTGTAGAGGTCCTTTGCAGGCCCCACTCCTGCATTCCAGGTACTGCAAATTTAAAATATTATGTATGATTTTTAGGAACACCCCAATGAAATGGGATGCCCATGTGAAGCTTTCAAACCCCCATGTCTGGTTTGGCTTAAGGGTATCTTCATATGAAGATGTTGAAGAGCAGACTCTTCTTCTTTGGGGTGTGACATTAGGGAAAATTTCAAGCATAAAGATTTGGCAGAATGCTTGATGAATGAAAGAAAAAAAAAAATTCCCAGGGTATGTCATAAATAAAGACCAACAACTTTTAACATATACAGGGTTAGTATTAAGTTTCTTCCCATGTTCAGACAGCTATAATATGCAAACTATGCATCATAAAGCTGTAATATCTGGTGTGAACATTAATGGGACCATGGGGAAGTGGAATATAGGATCATCAAATATGGCCCCCAGAATTTGCTCAATAGCAACATTTGCTACATTTTCAATGTGACCTCCCTTCATGTTTATAATTGCTTGCATTCAGGATATGCAGTGATAGATGGCCGTTTGAAGCTTTGCATATTAAAACTGTCCAAACATGAGGAAGAAACTTTCTACTAACCCTATACATCACAGCTCTCATTGAAGCTATGTTTGGAAAACACACCTTGTGTACAGATTGCTGTCCCCAATGAAACATTGGAATTTCATCCTAATTGGTCACACCAAAATAATAAGAGCAATTATTCAAACAAAAGTGGAAAATGAAAATAAGCAGAGAATTCCAGTCCCTTCTGAATGAGTAAATTCTGCTTGCCTAGTTCTCCAGCAAAAACCAAGGGAAAATCTAAATCAACTTTGAGCAAACATTCCATAAATAACTGCTCATAGCCTTACCTTGGTCTGATCCAACAAATTTAGATGAAAATTTGAAGAGATGTTGGGAACCTACCCAGCTGTGAATATTGACATTTTTGTCAGAATAACTCAAGTTGTAGCAGAGATATATATGATAGAAGTTGTTTCTCATCTTCTTTGCCATACCCTGAGCACTTACTGATGAAGGTAATACTTATGGAGGAAGATCCCAGGATTCCAATTCTTGTAGAGGACATCAAAATATTTGCATACACTCTGGTAATCAATCCAGAAGACACCATTGTCAAACATCTTTGCACTAGTGGGATCAAAATTGAGCTTGGTGCGGAGTTCAGGGGTCCAATGTCGTGTGTCCAGTTCTGAATAATTCCCTTTCCATCTCACATGAGACCATGGGTTCTTCAGCATAAACAGTCTCTCTCCCTATGAATGAATGAATGGAAGTGACAAGGTCATTCAAAACAGCCAGTTACAAGACAGTGGTATTATATTATTGTTACTGTGCTTAGTTAATCCAGCATATTTGCTGGAAAATGCCATCATAGTTCTACCATGAAAAAGGCAGATCAGCTTATCCATTTTTATAACTTGTCTCTGAGCCTATGTTCAGGCTGCATGAATTTTTCCATTTACTGAATTACTGCTAGTCAAGATCTATCAAATGACACCCATTATGTCATTTGACATGATTGAATATGCTTTTGTAGGTTTTGGGCATTCTCTTTTGCCAAAAAAAAAAACACAAGGTCCATTGAAAAAAATTCTCCTCATTGCAGCACAGCTCCTCATCCTTCCAGTAGCAATGCTGCAATGATTCTGAGTGCTCTAACTCATTGATGAATGAGTTCTTCAACAGTAGTGAAATAGTATTTGAAAAATTATTAGCCGTTTGAGGTTCTCAACACTGTCACTTGTTTACTGTTGGTGCCAAGAGGTGGTAGCATGCTCTGCAAAACTGTGATCACCTGACATATACACGATTGATGTACATATACCCATTAAAGGGTAAATAACAATGTTTCTTCTCCACCCATGTGAAGCTTCAGCATTACCAATGGTCACATCTTTGGTGCTCATCAAGGTAACTAAATCGATCCATTTGTCTGAAATGGGGGCCTTCAGAACATGCACCTTTTAAAGTGGCGAAATTCCATGGAATTTAGGCATTTTTCATAGTGACCACTAGTAACTTTCAGTTATGTGATATCTCCAACTCGATGTTACCAACATTAAATAAAGGGAGATTCTTAGCATACTCCTGAAGATTCCCCATAAAATATTTCTTTCATGCAGTACCTTTTATAATACAACTGCAAGAGCAATTTGTTCAAGTGAAAAGTTTCAGGATTCCCCTCTCCCCAAGAAGGTACAGTTGAAATCATGAACCCTTATGCAGCAGCATCTCCTGTCACAGGAGATACCTCCGTATTTCCATCCACTTTTATGGAGATATCTCCATAAAAGTAATTAGCACCTGGCAACTGAGTGGCCTGACTACTATCTAAAGGAGGAAGGCACTGAGTGAAATATGCAGAGGCTTTTGAGATGAGAGATATATAGACAGGGTCATAAAAAGGGGGGGCATAAATTGACAAATTCCTCAATGTGAACATAATAAATCCCTTTTATCATAATCTGCAGTGACACTCATCTGATGAACATCAATACCCTTTGAGCCTCTGACAGTCTACTGCCTGCACAAGAATTCAGGATATTGATTATACCCAAAGTATCTTATGCAGTTGTAAGATTTTCCCTGAATTCAACACTTCTAGAATTATATTTCAGCTTCATATATCAACCTGATTCGCTGGAGCAAAAAATTTCATGGAAAACTTCACCCCAGAAAATGTGTCCCAAGGGGATGTACCTCAAAAGTAGGATTTTTCCTGAACTCAACATATTAACAGCTACTTGGGTACCAAGTTTCAGGTTTCTATCAAATCAAGAACATGGTTGGAATTAGTAACAATCACTCAGTCATGACTGCCCATATATATTAATGTCATTAATTTTTTACAGCAGTTAATTGAGTCAACAGATCAAGTATGACTAATTTTCAAGAGAGGAACAAAGGTCTGTCCTTAGGGAAATCCCTCTTGCTGAGAGCTGACAAGAACAAAAAATATCAATGATGTGGTGGAATACAGTGAAATCATCCCTTGGCCTGACAACAGGCAACCACAAAGGAAAAAAATGTGCTAAATGATTGTAGTGAGGAATCATAGAGGGGAACCTTGATTTCCTGAATGTCCAATATGGCATATGCATGAGTGGATACAAGTCCTGTTCTTTCTGACTCAGCATCACTCATCTCCCCAGTGGCCAGTGTTGCCAGCACATTCCCTCGGTGAAAGTGCGTGTAGAGGTCTTGAAAGATGGCATCCTTATCACAGCCTCCATCCCCTTCTCGGATGTTAGTCCGATCAGGGATCCAACCAGTAAGAGCATGCAGGTCAATATTCTGGAAGAGCAAAAAACAATAATCACTACATTCAGGGCAAGAACACATACCATGACTCAGAACTTCGTTTCTTTCCCATATATGAAAGTAACTCTTGTGAAAATATCAACAATCCATGAAAAAAGTGAGACCTTTTTTCATCAGTAGGCCTGCATTTGCCTTCTTCAGAAGACAATTGAGGTTGTCTTCTTACCTGGAAGAGGTGGTCCAACCATTCCATTGAAGTACAGGTTACTGATGTTTAGGAATTATTTGGGTCATTCCATATATCTGATCCTCTCTGATTCTGATGAAATTTTGTGGGCTTGTAGGGACAATTGAGAAACTAATCCAAACCAAATTCCACCCCCTTTGGTCAAGTACTTTTTGAGGCACAGTGATTTGAAAATTGCTCAGTAGTGCCAATACTTGGCCATTCTGGCCTGGTATCTCAAGTGCCAATAAGTTCCCCTACTTAATTTAGAGGAATGATATTGATATCATTTTAAAGCATTTTTTTTAATGCCCTTTCACAAAATTGGTGTTTTATGAAGTTTCAACTAAAGAAAAAGTCAAAGGTCAAAAGGCCTGACCATTGACCCTTAATTCCAGAAAAAGTAATTATTTTTATTTTCAAAGAAATCAACATGACATTCTTAGTTTTTCCTTAAATGATAAGCTAAATTTCAATTTTGGACAGTGATGGGATAAAAAATGCAAATAATGCACTAGTAAGTGACAAAAAACCCTTAAAGAATGTACAAGAAAAACTTGGACATATCCAGTTCAAGCAGAAAGTTATAGATAATCCTTTCACTAGGAGTAGTCAGAACTATCAGAAGTAACCAAGAAAGTTTCAAGAATTATATTAGCAAATAGCTTTCTTGCATCCTGACTGAACCATTCCAACAGTAAGGGAAGGTGGGACTAAATGGGGTGGTATAGCGGCTCTAAATATCTATTCTCCTCTGGCTGGAATATCCATTACAATGGTTAGGCTCAGGGTGATGTCATGCATTACTGTTCAGATTCTTTTTCTCACTCAAAACCCAGTGAAGGTTGGGTTACTGACATTTGGCTCATGACCGCTGTGCAGGCATCGATGAGGACAGATGAGGACGTGTTTTTCTGTGACTTCTGTAAATTTGCATCTATGATGAATACATGGATAACAATTTGAAACAGCAACGATTGCTTTGCTTTAAATGTTTCATTATTGTTTCCATTCTGTGGCCTTAGTAAATAGGCATATAAGGAACATATAGGAAACATGAAAAAAAAAAACCAGTTTATTTATAGGTGTTTCATTGCTGTTTCTGTTCTTTGACCTCTGTAAGTAAGAATGAAGACCTGGGGAAACAAGAGAAACCATCTGTTTGTAATTTGTGGATGTTTCATTGTGGTCTCTGTTCTGTGAACTTTGTAAATAGGCATGAAATGAAGACACAGGAAAACATGAGGAAAATCATTAGTTTGCTATTTCTAGATAGTTCATTGATGTTTCTGCTTTGTGACCTATTGAAATATGTATATATTATAAATAAAAACTTTGTAAAACAATATTTGGAGAAGTACCCTGTTTTGCCCCACAGGGACACCCCATTTTGCCCCATGGGTGGGGTAAAACGGAAAAAAATTGACAACAATTTTTAGTATTGTCGGAAGGAAAAAACCATAGCTGATTTCACAATAAAGTTGAATCCTAGTTGTAGGTAAGATATGAAAGGTACCGCATACCAATTCACAACATACTACACCAATTCCTTGGCACTAAATTTTGGCAATCTTCCTGAACCAACCCATTTTGCCCCATCTTCCCCTGCTCCTATGTTGTTAAATTCAGTTCCTGCTGAGTTTAGATATAGAAAGTTCTGTCTTGCAGAACTATTTCTGCCATTTTGAATAATCAGCTTGACAGCAAGGCATCTCTCAGCACTTAAATTGAGCATATTGAATGCAAACTTCTCCTGTTTAGATGGGAGAAATACACTCTGTCCAAGCACAACCTTGGGAAGAGTGGAAAGCATGGTGGTTGCCATCTATCATATTCACAGGTAGGGATGGGTTAATGACCAGTCAATTAAAAACATGTCAATTGACTGGTCAATTGACCAGTCAATATGGTCAACTATGGTCAATTTTGGTAAATAGGACCAACTTTTATTTATTTTATTTTTTTTTTCTTCAGAGTTTTTGCACCATTATATATGTCATGACTCACAAGTGATAGACTAGGGATGGGAAGTTGACTGGTCAACATGGTCATTTTAGACCATTTGCAGAAAATAATGGTTATGAGCCCAACAAGAGGTTAGGCCTTATGACTATATGATCATGAATGACCATGTTGACCAGTCAACATCTCATTGCTAAGATAAATTTAATGTTCCAACTCATGCAATCTAAAGGGTAAACAGTAATGAATCATGCTTCATAGCTAGATTAATTTTTTTTAGGCATAGGCATAGGCATAACCCAAGTACTTGTCCCATGATCACAGACTTTGAGAATAATTTGATGCTCTGATGCAGACTATTAGCCAGGACCATGATTGACCTTGCATGAAACTAAAGTTCTAAAGCTGTTACTTAGATCTTGAACCTTAACTTTGAAAGTCCTTGAGGCTATAAAACTTTGAACAGCAAGCTATGCCTGCACACACACTCTGCATCACTCAGGTGAAAGGTCATGATAGTTTGAGCATTTGCTAAAATGTTTTCATTCACAACAGGTGCCACAGTCTAGGTGTTCGGCAGGCTGCATGAACAAATCTTAAAAACTGAACTGGCTCTTTGGTTTTAGTGCTGGGGGATAAATGACCACCGTTATGAGCTCTATAAAAAATATATTAATTCATTGAATTAAAAAAAATTAGTGGTCAATAATGGTCAATTAAAAGGTGGTCAATTGACCACCCCATCCCTATTCACAGGTCATGGTTCTGTTCTGCCTATGCCCCACTGATAATTTGGAGTGTATCTGCCACATAAAGGCATTGTCATTAAAGTAGTCTAGTATAGTTTTCAACTCATGATAATCATTACAACTGTCCATAAACCTTGAATAATACCCTATCCCACAAGGTATTGTAAAGGAAGCTAGAACTTTCACCTAGCTTTTAAATTTTTGTGCAGTATGAGCCTTTGCTACAGATAAAAATCATTCAATTCCTGTGCCAAGTCTAATACCAGAATCAAAACTGAAACTCCTACTACCATGATATTGCCAGATTGGTGTCAGAATTTTAACTTTTAGAATAACGATACTAGCATACCAAGTATTGGTCAAAAATCAAGACTTGACACCTCCAGTTGTGCATGATAGTTAAACAGTAAGTCAGGCAAGAAGCATCTTCCAACTCTAGAGAAAATATCAAAATGCTTTTTTTTTTATGTTCAAACCAGATAATTTCCAAATAACCTTTTTCCTTTCTCTGGGCATGTGGGTAATTCTCAAGCACAATCTTAGAATTACAAATCCGTCTCCCCAATTTTCGTGATGGTAACAATTCCATCAGCATCTACTTCAAAGATGTCAAGGGTAAAGTACTTACACTATTGGAGCCAGGGAAGTCGTAGCCTCCCATGACCCTCATGTAGGCCTTTTCCAGTAGTGACACCCAGAGTTCATTGCGATTGCTGGAGTATGAGCAGAGGAGTTCCCCATGTTTGCCAAGGGGAAGACGATCATCAATGATCACCTTGCGTGGGACCCCATTAATGTGAAGCTTTACCATGTATTTCCCACAGGGATTGTACACTGGGTATCCGGTTCGATTGCGAGGATAAATAATGTCAGTGATGATTTGACACTTGAACTTCTTCTCATAAAGGGCACTGACTGAAAGGGAAGCAACAAAGGAGCAGTCTGATACTACTGTCTGCCGGATACTGTATGGATCAATGAGCTGGATCACTTTTGGATCAGAAGAGAGTTCATGGGGACGAGCCCAACGAGCAAAGGCACGTCTCTGCTTGGGTGACAGGGCTAGGTCCACATCAGTGAATGGCATAGGGAGCGAGAACTTCTCCTTCAAATCATAAAACATGAATGGAACATATTCCCTGTTGTTGATGCAGGATGTCTTACGAATGACTTCCAATTCCTCTTGGGTGTATGCATCACTCCCACTCAGCTGAAGATGTTGGGATGATCCTCTGTGCAAGGACTGCTCCTCTAGGAAAGGAAAGAAATTCTTGTTAGCTTTCTCAAATTTTCACATAGTTTTACATACATAGTCTACTTCTTGAATTACATCACACTAGACATTGATGCACTAGGAGTATGAAAGAAAGGCACCTTTTAATCAAAATTAGCAATTTGTAAAAATGGCACCACTTCCAACTCATGAATATAGAAGATCATCAGCCTGGTACACAATTGGTTTCTCAACATGGAGTAAATATAGCATGAAGGAAATGGATTATGCACCATTTGAATTTTTGAAGGGCATGGCTAACCTCCATAAACACATGTATTCCTTGCAAATACTGATATCCAGTGTATTCTAATTGCATGCACTGTACATTATCCAAGAGCTCCATTGAGAATGAACAAAATGAGCATTCTACAGTGATGCAAGCTGAAGACATCTCCAGGCCATCAACACAGCCCATTGGGAGCAAGACAGGGCACAGTCATCTTGCAGACTTCTCGGGACACTGCTAATCTGGTTCCCCTACTGTTTCTGGCAAGGATTCATTCTGGAGGAGTTCATGATAGCCTTCATCATGTCCTTTACTGTGGCCTCTGTGAGTTCACAGATATTCAAATTAAGCCAAATGCCAGACTAATCACCAATAAGGATCATTAAAATTGACTGTGGCCTGAAGAGATTATGATTACACTATTTTTTTGCTATTTCTAAAATCCCTTGAAAAACAGGAATACCAATTCCATCAGGAATTCTAGCAGTGACAGAAGTATGGAAGGCTAGGTGCTATGTAGACGATGAGAAATTCAGGGGTGCACTTTGTTTTCTCTTAATCTTTCTGTTTTCCCCTGTGGAGGAGATGTATCACTTCATGACACACTTCATATTAAAATTTCACATAAGACTTCTACACATCAGTTTTTCAGGGCATTTATAGAATAAAGAAAACCATTCTCTTTCTTGGTGATAATGACATTCCAAAACACCAGGGAAAAAAAGACTGGAAAAGACTGGAAAGAAGCATTCTGATCAATGTTTCACCCAATCATTAAGGACATACAAGATTGTGAACTTGAGTGAACTGACTTTTGGGTCCTTCTAAGGAGATATTGCCAATTCCAAGAGGAGGGATGATTCTCTGTGGTTTCGTGGGTGTGGTTGCCTGCAATCTACCATGAGAATCCCCCTTTCCTGGAATCTTTTGATCCTTAACTTCAGACATGCTGTCAGGTGCTTTCTGGATACCCTTCAGATGTTCTGCTCTTTCAAGAGCCATCTCTGCTATTTGGGTCAGCTGCTTCTTCTCTTCTTCTGTCTTGGCCATTTCCCTCTGAAGAAATGCACAGAAAATTCACCACCTGCATTATACACCTAACATGTTGAGAAATGTATAATTTTTTCTTTTTTCTTTATACCTTCAACCCTGCCCCCATTACTCAACTTCAACTCTTGGGCCTGGATGCTGAAACCTCATTTAGGTGAGTTCAAGGAACCATTAAGCTAAAGTGCCCCTTTTCCCCATGAGAGAACATGGATTCCTAACTCTTTTAAGACCCAAATTTAAAATATAAATGGTGCAAAAAACAAAATTTCCTCATACAACCATCTGCAATGGAACATTATTGACTACAAAAATCAAAATTATGGAAAATGTCACTGGGACTCAGAAGCCCCACCAGGTCTCAAGGTCATGCATTCCTGTATAGCCCAAAAAATATATACAGGAAATATGCAGGGCTCCAGAATCCTGTCGGGCTTAAAAGGGTTAACACATTCGCTGCTGATGACGCACCTCGTCGTTATCCTTTCCATAGAGAAGTGCGTCATCGGCAGCGAACGTGTTAAAGGACATTAACTATAGAAGGTTTCACTTGCACTGTCGAGGATTTCAACCTCAATCTCTTGTAAATTGATTCTGATACATTTCCTAGAACAATTCAACAGATTAATGTGCAAAAATTGCACATGAGAACAAGCTGTCATTCCACCAAAAAAAAACCAACTCTGGGCAAGTGTACTAGCTCAGAAAAACCCAACTGTGAAAGGGTTAATAGTTCTAGGAGACTTTGTAGCTTGTGAAAAGTGAAAGGGGCAAACCTTCACAATGGAGCAGAGTGTGAAATAATTCATTTAATAAAAAAGAAATAAAGACAAGCATTGATTGTGATTATGGTTTTCAGAGCTCAAGCATTTCAACATTCTGGAAATATGCAACCTCAGTTATAATGAACATTAGCTACAACATAAACTTTTTCCTGGTCACTTCAAGTACATTATAACCAAGTTCAACTGAACTATGCCCAGTAAGACAAGGAAATGCTGACTGGGGAATCTTGAAAAACTTTTATATGGAAAGGATACCAAAGTGAAAACTTCTCTGTTGTGAAAAATAGCACCTCCTGGTGGTGGACCATGGTAAGTTTGCAAGCCTCCATATTCATTTTCCAACAAAATGTGAAGTACAGTCGTCCCTCGCCACTTCACGCTTCGACTTTCGCGGCTTCACTCTATCGCGGTTTTTTCAAATACCTGTATATTGGGTAATACGAGTGTAATGGTGACTAAAGAGTGTTATTTCATGTCTATTAGAGCCCTCTAGACATGAAATAACACTCTTTAATCACCATTACACTCGTATTACCCAATATACAGGTATTTGAAAAAACCGCGATAGAGTGAAGCCGCGAAAGTCGAAGCGCGAAGTGGCGAGGGACGACTGTACCTGTCCACACATCACTATGGTTTTTATGACCTTGCATGTACAAACAATTTATTGGCAACTTCGAAGAAAAATAACTTTACTCATTACTATATTTTGCAGCTTTATGGAAAAATTTTACTTAACTAATTATTCATACATATTAGAGCAGTTAAAAAAAAATTTTTTTTCCAATGTCCAAACCCTTCTACATTTTCCCATAGACAAATTCAACACTTTTGTCAGATGACAAAATTATTAAAATCTCCTAGATTGAATCGGCTTCATATTCAGCACACACATAGCTGAAAAGTACTGTTGAATATACTTAAAGTTTTGAATGTGTGTTAAAAAAAGAAAGAAATAACATTATGTAGGAAAGTTTTTACTAGCGTTTTCTGAGCTGAACCCTTTCACATGGTTCACTCTCCCAGATAAGCATCCTTCACTGCTCCTCAACATGCAGTGTAGTTCATGAGGAAATAAAAACAAAAATGATACCAGATTACGTATTACATCTCGATTCACAGCAATAATGAAAATTTTTCTGCCCATTAAATGGTGGAAGACTCTCTTCTTCCATTTGATCAATTTTGCTGTAGTGAGTTCATACACACTATTTGAGGGATTGCAGATCCCTCAAATAGTGTGCATGAACAGTGTGTATGTAGTTCCCAGGCCCTCCCAACCTGACTTGATCAAAGAGTTTCAGTTTGACAGACTTTTGTCTAAATCTCACCATGTAGCTTGGGGGTATTTTAGATGCTGACTCGATTATAATACCTGTAGTAGGCTGACCAGCAACACCATTGAGCCAAGCAGGAATTGACACAGGGCCAGGACACATGCCTGATATGTCCAATACAACGGGAAATGACCAAGCGTTTTATGCAAAAACTAAAATTGAAAATCGAGTGCAAGTTGTGGCATGGCAAGCCAATCCTATCCAAGCCTCAGTAAAATGAATTGTTTCTGAGAGCTGCATAAAACTGTCTTTCAGCTCCAATATGGAGAGCTATGAATGTGGGATTAGGGATGGAATGTTGGAGAAGGGAGATGGGTGTGCAAACATCTATGTTTCTTGGTTTGACATGGACAAGATGGGAATGTATAGTGATGTGAATGAATGACCCAATCATGGAATGGTTGTTGGAATAAGAAAGAAAATAAATGAAATAATGCCTAGATGCTAGAATTCAGTCCCTTCATGCAGAGATGGCTGTAAGAGATGTTTGGATTCATTTCTTCCGAACAGCTCGAATGAGAGTCTAATAACATGGGATAGCTTGAAGTGGGGTCATTGAAAGTTTCTATTGGCAGTGCATGGAATTTTAAAATACATTTATTAATCATACAACTCACCCTGGCTCCATATCATTTTCCTTTTGACTCAATATTAAAGGATTCAGATCTCCTTTCACTCACATGTGCAAAGGACTTGCCTCTCTTCCTGGAGAACCCAACAATAAACAAGAAAAGCTGATTGTCACCGTTTTTCTATCAAACTCTAACTCTTAAAATTGCTACTGTAGAGGTCATTTTTCAAGAAATATGCCTAAATGTTATAGAACATTCTCTGCTCTCCTCACTTTGCATCAGTGCAAAAAAGTTTCAAAAGATGCTCAGAAAAGATTCAGGCAATTTTTCTTATGGCTACACACGCCCATTGAAAATTGTGCACGAGAAACAAACTGTAGAAGGGCTAAGGGCATTTCATGCTTTGGGTGTTCTACATCCTTTGCATCGATGCTTGGGAAAGTAGGCAGATGCACCCATGCACACATGTGTCCACTTACATCCAAGGGTTTTCACTAAATGCAAGGTTTGCATTTTTAGTTGAACTCATCCCATTTCCACATGCAAGCCTCAAGTTTTGTGAAAACCATTAGATGCAAGTGAACATATGTGTGCATGAGTGTATTTTCCCACCTGCAAAAGATCCATGACATGCGAAGGCCCGTACCCTCCCATTCTTGTACATATCCCCAAAATTAAATTTCATATAAATTTTCAGCTTGTTTATATTTAGAGGGAGCTCTATGAAATTCAAGTTTCAGGACAAATGCCCTTACTGTAAACCAACTATCTATAATGTAATAATGCATCATCAGTTTTTTTGGCTGATGTAATATCGTTTAATGCAGTTCTTCCTTCTTTTTTCCCCTCATAAAATTGCAAAATGAGTGAAAAATGAAGTGGCCAGATTCCAAAGATCTGAAGTACTTCTGAGATATGGCTTCTTGGACAGCTTTTGAGTAAGATTCCTGGAGCTAAATTACCATCAAAGTTACAATCTCTTTAACTATTCTCCCACCTCCATCGCTCAAAAACAATCCATGAAGGTGCAATAGAAACTGAGAGGTTTTTTAAGTTTTGGGAAAGCAAAAGAATACTAAAAATCTAAACAAAATTGCCATGAAATAAAAAATAAAGACAAAATGACATTAATTTACATGAAAAGCATGGTTTTGTATTCATATGCTACATCAGCCACAACAAATTATCTCAACATGCTGAAGGCTCTTGAGATGCACACATCAAGGGACAAGAAGGTTGCAGACGTTGCCATGAAGCATCATTTACGGTATCTGAGTGAAGCATTAGAAGCATTGAGCTCATTCTCAAATGAAGTTACAGATGCATTGAAATAAGGATATGCTATCAAATATTTTGAAAGACAAGAAAAAATAAAAAGCTTAAAAAGGACTGATGATTCAAAAACTAAACAAATGAAAATTTTCTTGTCCCTAATGTTTGTATGCAACATCTTGTGTCCAATTGTGCCCCAATGTCCTTATACACCTCACTCAATATTGATCAATGGTTTTTAATTGAATCTCCTTCTATACTATGTGGAATGACATTGAAGAGTACAAGAGTGCTGTTAGAATCAGAAAGAGTTTGAAGGTTGTCAATGATTATGCTGAACAAGCAGGGAAGTTGATCTCTGGCTATAGCCAAATCATCACCAAAAATGAAGAATAGAATCAATACCTCTTCAAAGTTGTTGAGCAGCATCAAAAAATTTCAAAACAAGGAAAAAATTCAACACTGGATCAGAAACATGGAGAAACCTGGCAAAAATCAAGAGCTGGCAACTGTGAACCCCACTCCCCAAGGTGAGGCTAATATTCACAAAACATGAGGGGGACCTGGTTGACATACCTCACAAACAGGACTATAAGGCTGAAAACTAAACATGAGCTACCTTTAAATATCCTCCAATTGAGCTGATTTTTGGCACAGAAGTTTCTATTTGGAAATATACAAAGATGAAGGGTTAAGACTATAAAAAACTTCAAATCTGAAATGGTGTTTTTTTTTATCACTCTAATATAAATACTTGATTATATGTAATTAGTTATGCAGATAAAGAGAGGTCCTTTATCTCCACCCATCCATGTGTTACTTACTTTTGCCTGACAACACACAGGTGGGGAATAAAAATACTCCCTACCATGTCATATTAATTTCAGCTTCAATCATGAATCAGGGAAATCACAATATATTTATTTTAGGTGGCATCTAAGAGATTGAAGAACAAAATGCCTATATATGGTTGGAAGGTGATCAATCAACTACATCACTCCCCCTAAATGAATCAAAGACTACACTATGCCAAGACAAGCATAAAAGCTGCAGGTAAGCAAGGCTAGAAGAGTTCTCTCCCTATTTCTTTAGCTCAGTTCTTGACCCAGTATGCAAAGAGAGGTCCTATACTTACTGCTTCAAGGCAAAGTTTCACTGCTTCAGCATACAGATTGACGGCTTCTTCACTTTTGCTTTCATTGTCTGCATCCAAGGCTTCACTGCAGAGAACTTTAGCCCTTTCTGTAACAAGCTCAGGACCAGACTTTTCTTGTTTCATCTCCATACATGCATCGCCTAAAATGAAAGAAAAGGATGGATCAGACTGGATTGTACTGTAAATGATACATTTACTTTGGGTGGCAGTGTGATTTAGCAATGCAAGCAAGTTCTATCACCTATCAATTATTGATGTTATAACTTTTGCTCACTAGAAACATGTTCATGGTCATATGATGCCATGATGAATAAAACATGAATCAATCCCAGTTTAGATTGAGAACATTGGCTCCCACACTTGAGTGAATCCTCAACAGAACTATTAGTCCTACTCGTATTCTCCCTGCTATGGTTCAGTTCCCCCCCTTCTTTGCAAATGGGTTATAAGTCAATGAGGTTTCTATAACAAAACTCTTGGCTTACCCTTGTCTTTCAATTCTGTAGCTCTTTTCTCATATGCATCTCTCATGGATGAGAAATCCCTTTCATCCATGTGTTGGCAAGTTCTCAACGCATAAGCAGCTTGTTGATAGAAGTAAATTGCAGCATCGATCTTCCCATCCCGATCGAAGGTCACAGCCCGATTTGCGAAGTCCACAGCCAATTGATAGACATCCGTTTCAGATGCCATCATTCAACTTGTTAGGCTATCGTTCTATTGGCAGACCTGTCATTGCATAAGCTGGAGCATTTTTTTAAAATAATGGTAGACATGTTATTGGTCCGTATGCAAGAACGTATAAAACTTATAAAATAGCTATTTTGGGAGGTATCATATGAAATGTCTGATAGGTTTGATAAGTTGACCACATGCAGAAACGTTTTATACCTATGATGATAGGTTTAAAAATCGCTTCAATCTATTTTGATCTAGAACTTGTTTATTATGCTGATAATGAGCTACCAGGCTAGATACTGTACATATTGTAGACCTGGTGAGTTTTGTCTATATACAATCGCGCACCATAGGGTAAATTAGGTAAATGTTCTAATCGTTTGCCATTAACTTAAACACTTCGACTTGCTGTACACGTGATGTTAGAACATATCTTAACTTCACCCTCTCGTCATTTTTTAAATTTTGCTAACCAGCAAAGAAACAAGAATTTAATGCAACAGTGAAATCCCTATGGTGCGCGACTTCTGCGCCACCCTGTGTATGTAAAAAACGAAGTCTGATCAAAAAGTTCTGAGACTGAATTTTTTTATGACGCTGTGGTGACTCTTTCCGGCTACTGATGGCTATCTCCTCCGAAGTAGTCCCCTTCGGCATCAAAAATTTTCCAGCGTTTCTTCAGCCGCTGGAAGCATCGCTGGTACTCGTCTTTTGGAATCGCCAGCAGCGCTGGCGCCGCGTTTGTAATGTTGCTTTGAATGTCCTGACATCTTCCTTTCAGCACACTTTTTAGCTTCGGGAAGAAAAGGAAACCGCTGAGAGCCAGGCCTGGCGAGTAGGGTGGATGATGAAGCTCGGGGATTGCGGGATAGGTCAGAAATTGCTGCACAGCGAAGACGTGTTGAGCCTGGGCGTTGTCATGCTGCAGAATCCACGACCTTGCCTTCCACTTTTCTCTTTCTGCGAACGGCATCGCGCAGACAAGTGAACACAGTGAGGTAAGACAAGAATGGCAAACACTGATTCAGAAGTACTACCTCACCGTGAGAAAGAGAAAGGTGGGAGAAAACCTTGCCTCTAAAGCCCTTCTCTCATTCTCATTCTCTCAGAGCTGAGACCTTTCGAGAGCACAAAATACTGCTCTCGAAAATGATTATTAAAGGTACGGCTACCTCCTGATCGAATTCCTTGATAAAAACGAGCCGGAATCCGACAGGGAAGGGTTGCCTTTTCGCTTTTAGCTTCCCTAATCTCTTCCTGTTATGATATCTGAGAAACGCGTAAATGATTTGGGACTTCTGATATGCGAACCATTTTTCCTAAACTATGGACCACGGGCATGGTAATACGATGTTTGAGGCCAGAATTATTATTTACTGAGACCATTGCCGAATATATTATGCCTTAACTTGACGGTAATCTAAAACTTTAATCAGACCAAGCTGGTTATTCGACATGATTTGACAGGTCCTATTCTTCAGTATTTTTCACATTCTGGCTGGTGTTCGTCCGACAGTAAATGATAACGATATATATCGCCATCTGCATTTTTCCATTCAGCATTACTTGTTTTTCTACATTTTTAAGTTCAACATTCCGACGTAAACCACTTTTTATGGTGAGGGAACTTTGTTCTCTTTCTTAGAACTTAAGAAAAAAAATTATTGCCAAGGCGGCTCCTGTAATTAATAGCAATCAGCTCTATTCATGTGATCGTTAAAAAAAAAAGAAACCTAACCGAAGGGCCCAACGACGAAGTGGGGGAAAGGGAGTGGGGGAGAGGGAGTGGTGGGTGGGTTGAGTAAGTTCAGCTCACCATCCCACGTTTATACCGTTCCCAACCTCAAGTCCACATTCGATTCCTTGCGAAGAAACAGCCCAGATTATATTTTAGGTTTAACAAAGGATACTTAAACAAAACTGAAATGATAGATGGGGAGTATGATACTCCCTGCTGCCAATGAATTGAATGCATAAGTCTAAAGGAGGGCTACATCATACTGCATCCACATGCCTATCTTGCCAATACTGAGGATGCATTTCGCAAAAATACCATTAGTTTTACACTTTTAATTAGATTCAATTTAGCAAGTCATCGATAATTTCCTTATGATAGATTAGAAAAATAAAAAGCTCATTCTAAAGAATGAAAGTTAATGTTACTTCATCATTCAGTCATCATTAATGACTATTGCACCTAAAATGGGTTTCTGACTTGAACAGAAATAACAATTTACAATGAATCATTTCAAAGAAGGAAATTAAATATATGAGTACCAACATGTTTGACATCAAAGTGACAATGCTAAAAATTCACTAGAACCCACCCCACTTACTAAGCCAATCCCACTGTATCAAAGAAAACCTGTCACTGAAGCTCCACTTTCTGGGGTGTTGAAGGTGCATGACAATTGGGAGCTGTGATTGCACATGACTGTCTCTGATGAAAAATCACCAGCCAGCTGACAACGATGGTTTGAGCTGCTGCTGCAGAAATAAATAAAGTCCTTTTAAAAATTATTTTCTGTTCCACTGCTCCTGAGTGATGCCAACCAGACAAGAATCTCAAATAGGCTAGCTACACCAAACCCACCAAAAAAATCCAAAATTTGGTCAAGACATTTTGATAAAATATGTGTTCATTCACAAGACCAACCAAAGTGGCCTTGTGAGCTACAGTCCCCAATTTTACATTGTGATCTTCATGAAGTTCCTGACCAGCAGGACATCCTCCAGAGATGGAATCATTGAAAACGTAAATGCTAAGATTCAAGTCATGGGAGTGATCAGCAGCAATTGATCTTTGTCTCAAAGCTGCTTGCTGTCTATACCCTACCAAACTGCAACATTTAGAAAGAGTCCACCCTCTGCCCACTTCTCCATCTCTGCAGGAGCAGCAGACATCCACTTGGGTCTCATTGGTCCAATGCTAATTATTGCCCTCATTACAGTGGGACAATTTTTTAAATTTTCAAAAAAATGTCTCTGGCACAAACATATTTGAGAATTGAAGTCATCCTTCCATTAGAGGGCATTCCTGGCTACAAAAAATGTCAAATCTCTCGTCATTCAAAGAGGCAGTTTCCTGCTGCATGGTGAAATTTCAAAGACAGTCAAAGTGTCCCACTGTACCCCTACCCCTGGGCATAGTGGGACAGGCAAAGGCATGTGAGACATTCCCTGCTCTTAATAAATAAATGCAGGAAAATCATTTCCAATTTTTTTTTTCTTATTACTTGCAGTCTGAATTGAATTTCGCTTGCTTGATTCTTTCTCTTGATTTTGAAGAAAGATGCTCCACTTCCAGTTTTTTTGGGGGTCTGTTGCTATTCTTGATCTGCCTAGATGTCTCCTTTTTCCCTTTCTATGTTCTAGTTTATTTTGCAAAACCTTAAAAAGGGAATTTATCAATAAATGTAACAGCATATGGTGCATTGGGACAGTCAGGGTTATGTGCCAGTCTACCCCATGATCAACTCTCCCACTGCACCCTGAGCAACCAACTTTGAACTCCATATTTCCTGGCCAAGAATCACTCAAGCAACCTGACAAAAACCTACGAATAATATTGTATGGAACCCAAGCACTGCCTATGAAATGAATGGTGTGAATTAAGCAACACATTATTGGTCTGGTCAAGAGACGGAAATTTTTAATATCCCTGATTATTTCCAGCCTAGCTGCACAATCACCACTAACTCTCACACATCTGCAAGGGGTGATATGATGACTCTTGCAATAGATTTATGTGCTTCTCCAACTAGTTTGAGGCAACAAAAAGTCCAGTGTCACACTGTACCCTAGTCTCCCTGTATTAATATCAATTTCTTTTACTTTTCCTTTTCCAATTATATTCCTAGGCTTACTTTTATTCTTTTGTTTTAAACTCAGGCACAAAGCATATTTTCTCTACATCTCCAGGATAAACTGGATTTGGTAGGCCTAGGCCAAACATTTCTGAAGTTTAGCTTGATATTTTCCAATTCTCTTCATTCATGCCTAGGGATTTCTTCAGAATGCCTTAAAAATGTCAAATTTTAATTTCAAATTCACTGCAAGCTACATGCTTGCTGAAGGATAGCAAAAAAAGGAACAATTGAATTACTCTGGAACAAAACTCTCTAATACACTCCACAGAGTGCTTCCTGTACTTCCTCAAAACATTTAAGACAGAAACTCAATTAATTCAATATCTCAAGTCCAGCATACAACAGAGAGAAAAACTCTTGTTGCTCAACCACAGTTAGGCCTTGAATCATTCCACAAAATTAATTCCATCTTATTCAACTCCACAATGCTCTATCTTTGGGGATTTCTTCAATTCTTGCTTATTTTCTTGCTCATTGGTCTGTTTTCATGTTCTCATCCTCTGTTGCTAATCAAGCCCATTTCTGGAGAGTATCCCCCATTCATATTTATCCATGCATGCCTGCATCAGTAGTCTGTCAGGGTGTCAAAGGAATATCATAAATGCAAACAGCTCAATTTTAGACAAGTATTAAACAAAATCCAGGGTTGCTATTGTGTCAAATCAGGGAAAATATCAATAAAAATGTCGCAATTATGACCCTTGCTACATTGGAGAGGAGTACTTTCAGGGATGATATTGATAAGCTGCATTCTTGGACCACAGAAAGAAGAATGCTGTTCATGTGCATGTACTATTGATGGTCCTAATGCTGGAGGTGAGGGAGGTATGTTGAGAAAATCTGAAAAGGTCAACCTGGTTAATAGCCCTTTTCTTGGCTCATGCCAGCTGTCTCTTGCCTCTTATGACAGTTGATGCTTCAGTGCTACTTATCCCATACAAGATCAAGGATCCATATACCCCTAGGACGAAGGCTACTACCTATCGTGTACTTTACAGGGCACACACATAACAATTCTACTGTCTAGAACCATACTTTTGGTTGATGGAAAAGTGTCCACTTGAATTCTCCAAATTATGCTGTTTGTTTTAAAAACTACTTTGTTGAAAAGGAAGAGGCTGTGATATTCCCAAAAATTTTGTTATCCAAGAAAAGCAAACGAGTCTGTGACTTTTCTATCGAATCAAAAAGTGAAAATTCTCAATGAGAACAGATGATGAAGA